CTAAATCAAGTCAACTTTCAATTCATGTTTTTTTCCACATTTTTATGGTAGTTATTATTGTAGGAGATTTCTGCCCTACTTTTTCATTTATGCTAATTTTACAATTTGAATAATTTGTTCATTGTAGTCTACTAAAATATAAAGACAAAAATCGAATCCGAAAAGAATTGAAACAAAATAAAAGAAGATTAAAACAGTGTAGTCTATTGTTTCTTTAAAATCCATTGATTTTAGAAAGTTCAGAAGTTTCCTTTGTCTGGAATAATATACTTCTACAATGTCTTTGATATCGTTTGATAAATAGCATTTAACAGTAAGTATAATGAGAAGCCTACCACAAAAACAACAAAATATTTCAAAAAATCTGCTTAAGACAAAAGCATGGGCGTTTCTATGAATCATTGTTGGGTGGGTGATAGGGTGTGAGGCTAAGAAGGGGTCACGAAATTGTCAAGGGAGCTCGTTTTTATTTTGATAGAGATCTTTACTGATCAATTTCACATTAAATACGAGTTTGTCGACACAGTCCTTTAAATCTCGATTTTCGAAACGTCGAATTTTACACAGGAAAGGTGAAAGATTTTGCTGATTGCTGCTCTATCGTAGAGTAAAGCAAATATAAAAACAACTATATATATATACGTTAAAGAATTTGTGTTTGCCGTCGTCCTTCTATGACTTTAAGATACAGTTCTTGCAGAGGCAGAAATGCTTGTGGAAGGGGGCCAAAAAGTTGTGACTCTCCAAAGGGCCCCTTATAGCCAGGGGTCTGAGGGCTGCCAGAGGTATCACCACCCTTACACCCCCCCCCCCCCCCCCCCCTCCTCTTCCACGAAGGCAACAAGTTTCAGATGTCTGAGATGAGTAGTCAGCATTTTGAGCATAATTCCCCCACGCCCCCCGCCCCTCCTCCAACCCCTAAAAACGCTATACCGAAATCTTGTTCTGCATCATGTGGGTTAATTATCATTTACTTAAATTGCACTATCTTTTTTTTTTAAATGAATTATTTTTCTAGTTTATCTTGAACCTGCTGGTTCCTGCATTAAATTTTCGTGATATTTCTCTTTTTGATTTACAACTAACTGTGTCAGTGTATTTTTAGCAGAGAGTCAGGCGCCATCAACCCTTGAACAAATGGTGGTCGTGGGTTCCACTCTTGGTTGGGTATGAAAGTCTTGAATAAGCTTTCCTCATTAATCCAGCTAATTCGATAAAGATTAATGCAAAGAGGTTTAGGACCAGCTGGTATAGAAATAATCCGTATTTAAAATGGTTGGGCTTCCATAATTCAAGATCAACAACAGTGCCTTCGTGATATTTATGTTTGACTTGTAAGTATGTTATGGAGTGTGGGAATTGTTCATGTTTTCTCACGAAACTAATTGATAGGAAACTGAATCAAACTAGATTAAACCAAGCTATCCTGTCGATCTAGCAAACAGATTATAGTCCTTGCGCTTTCCTGGGACGTGATATAGGCTACGGATAGGAACAAAGAGAAAGTGTCACTTTTTATGGGAGTTGGTCCCAAGATTCATTTTTGATCTTTAGTTTTTGAGAATTGTCACCGTGCTAAAGGCCATATTGAAACGTGCCGATACCACATCCGTATTTCACGTCTGAGGAACGGGTAAGGGTCAGATATATCGGACTATATTATGTTTGACACTCTAGTAGCTGTTCTGTGGTCAAAATGTTACTATACTTCGTGTTAACTCAGATAAAAGCACATCTTTATTAGCTACGAATTGCTAAATTACATATTTTCTCTTGAATCTAAATGATTAGGAACAATATTACACCAAACTATCGTGTTTAAATAGCAGCGGATCATGTTTGGCACTTTAGTTGTTTTTCTATGGTCAGAATGTTGCTTTATTTCGTGTTCAAGATGGGTTTCCTTATTTTTTTAGCATAAAATTAAGCAAACTATTTGATTAATTGGTGTTTCTTACAATTAATGTTTTTAATTCAAATTTAAAAGTGAAATATGTGAACCACCGTAGTTTCTTATAAATTATCATGTATTCCTTATTTTTTAGTGTCAAATTAAGCAAACCATTTGATTAATTGGTGTTTCTAATGAATTATCATGTATTCTTAATCATATCATTATGTTCTTATTGCATATAATTAAGAGTTTTAACCAATCATAAATGTCCATGTATATACAGTCTGAATAAACAAAAAAGGATTTTTTGACCTTTCTTGATCGGTCACTCATTGGAATTCTGGTAATTCTCTTCTTATTTAGCTATTAAATTATGGGAAATACTGGTCATTAGAACACCTCTACTTTCTATTCGTATACGTATTAGCATTTTCATTTTCATAAATGATAATAAGGGAACCCATCTTTAACAGTAGTTTTCAATCAGATAACAGCATATCAAACAAATGTAACGTTTTTATAAAATGATTGTTTGAAAGATAACACCTCACAAGTTTCACAGAAAGTTCTTGGATTTCTGACAAAAATTTTATGATAAACTATTTTAACCGTGTTAACATCGTGTTAATTTTTACATTTTAATCATTTTCTTTATCACCAACAGGTGAGAAAATATAGAATCGTTTATTTTTACCTTCAAATATAATTTAAAACTTCTGTATGTAATATATCACACTAAAGTACACGTGTTTGCAGTTCTATATAGATACTAAACGGTACTTGAACTTTGTAGTAAGTGTGTTCTACTTGAATAAGTCCTATTCCCGGTGGCGTATTTAGGCGGCAATTTCTGGCCCCTACCCCCTCTGATTGGAATACATCTAGATTGAACAGGCGTCACATCAGTGACAACAAACATTCTAGTAATAGTTAAATCAGTTTAGAATTACAACCATTATACAATGTATAATAACCTGAAAATAGTTGGTTTTTCGATTTACAAAGATTATATATTAACTCGACACTTGACACTTTGCAACATTCTCTAGAAAGTATCGAACTAAAAACATTTTGACATTGTTCAATTGCATCTCACAAAATAATGTTGACATTTCAGGTATTAGGTTCTTTATGGATCACTAATAAAATTAACTCATAAACAAAGTTAACGCAGCATAATGTTTCGCTAATGTCAACTTGATTATAGTATCAACTTTAACATTTTAACTTTGGCAGTTATAACTTCATCTAAAAGTTCTAAATCGAACCATGACGGCTTTACAGATTGGTTCCCTTATTTTCATTTATGAAATGAAATTGCTAATAATCATATGAATAGAAAGTAGATGTGTTCTAATGACTTGGAAAAATACCAGTTTGGCTCACATGTCCATAATTAATTCCTAATTAGCTAAATAAGAAGAGAATTACCAGCAGAATTTCAATGAGTGGCCGATCAAGAATGATCAAAAAGTCTTTTTTTTTATTTATCCAGACAGTACATACATGATTTGTGATTGGTTAAAATTCTTAATTATATGCAATAAAAACATAATGACATTATTAAGAATATATGATAATTCATTTGGAACATCAATTAATCAAATAGTTTGCTTAAATTGACACTAAAATATAAGGGAACCCATTTTAACGTCAACAAAACGTTATAATAACGTCAACTTACAACCAAGCATCAACTAAAACATTATATTATAGCCTAGAATAATAATAGCATACAAATAAGCTGCTCTGATGTCAACTACACAGGACGTCGTATTACTTCACCAATCGTGAAGCCCACACAGACGGTTGTCACTTCCATATAAGGCGGTCACTTCAACTATACTAAGGCGCTTAACACTCAACATGGGTCTCTATGATTCCAATGAAGTGTTTATTTACAAGATAGCTTTCTTCTCAGCCTGTGTAATTTCGGTTCGTATTGTGGTTTAAATTTCCTCACGTAGTTTTTCTCTGATAGTGACAGTCTCAATTCACTCTGACGAACCGTAGACATGTTTCCCATCACAATGAATTCCTTTCCAACGTTTAATCTTGGACATTTACAAATGTTGGGCACCCACAGAAACTCTCGACCGAGTAGATTAGCTCCGCCATTTTTATAGTTTTTGATAACAGTAACTTCATACCTCGTTTCGCCATTTTGAATTTTTGCTGATTTTATTAAGATTCTTGACACTGTAAAAGAGGACGACGAATTTAAATTATCATGAAATTGTTCTAAAATTCGCTTGTAAGTTTTACAGCTTGTAGAATGAGTGAGCTGCTAACACAAACCGTGAAATTAAAACAAAACACGAGATGACTATAAAACGGACAAAAACGTTGGACATTTTTAAATCACAAGCATGTGAACGACCAGGGTACAAAATTAAAATTGAAGAAAACACAGAAGAAGGGGACCACATATTCACAAAATCAAACTATTACGAACTTCCTCAAAGACGAACTGACGACGTTCGTAACAGCTTGATAATGGGAAGATGATAGCAGTGGGGAATGAATAAATAGCCTTACCAAAGTCACTCTGACAGAACTGTTTCTTTCTATCCTTAACTTTCCAACATTTTGGACAATTTTCTGAAAAAAGACAATAACAATACAAATTCACGACATCGTCTGACTCCTAGAAATTGGATGAATCAAATTAGGTCTTTACCGTTAGCGTCTTTTAAACTATAGTTGCTCTATGAAATAATGCAGAGAAGCAGAGGTGTAAAGATTCTTTAGAGCTTGAATTTGACGGCCAATTTTTATTGTATGAGCATCCATTGATAATACAGATAATTTTTATTGAAAACTTACTTTTTTTAAACTTCAATTTTTGTCTTTGTCGTGTGAGTGGGCGTCGTTTTGGTTGTTTAGATATTCTTCGATTGCCGGAAGAATATAAAACATCATTACTAGTCGATAATCCTTCATTATATCGCCATTTTGTTGGGAGAAAATTGTCCTCTTTGTTTTTGTTTTTGGTGTGTTCTGACATTATTTTTAGCCATTTTGTGTCTTCTGTTAGGTCCACAGCTATTTTGGGACGTGTGCGTTGTTTGGTGGAATCCGGTACATTGCGGTCCTTAGCGTTTATCTTAGGTTCCCAATATTCATATTTTATCTCATGATTTTTCTGCCTGTACAAAAGCTGAAATAGGCAAAAATTTGTTGACTCGTCTTCTCCCTTCTAGATTCATCAGACAAGGATTACAGTAAGTTCACTGATTGTAAGGCCGTATTTCAACAGGAAGATATGCTAGTTCAAATATGACTGTTCGAAGATTTTGCTCTCGACCATTGTAATATTGTGTGAATGTGATGCTTTAAAGATTGCGAACGATTTCCAACTGCTACATAGGTAAATACCATGTATCTGTTATTAGTTAAATTCAATAGTGACACAGATAGCTGTAGCTAAGGGGAGGCAACGGAGACAAATGCCTCACTTTTGAAACGACGACCAAAGTTTACGGGTGTCTTTTTCTTTGAATTGTGTATTTATAAATCCACCAAGACCACACTTTGGCCCATTTTTACTTGCATTATGGTTCGACTGTCATGTTTCTCGTAATCTAGACAAACGTTACCAGATTACCACCCAAACTGCAAAACTCTTACCCACTGGTGTTTCTAGGGCTCACAGTAGCAAGATTCAAAAATTTAATGATAAGAATAGAGTGGAGGTCTCAGTTCTGCTCCCCCAAACCCCTATCCGTCTTGGAGACACAACTGTCCTTACCATGATAGTAATATTCTCAGTAATAGGACCATCCGCCATTATAATTTCTCCCACTGTTCCTGATCTAATATACGTCACTGTCGTTCCCGCCATTTTATATTCACCGCCATCTCGTACCAGTCGATCTCCGTTTATCATAAACTGATTTTCTTGGTTCATCAGAGCTGAAACGATTGGTAAAAAAGACATCCTCTATATGACTTTATGGAATATTTGGATAAAGTTATTCTAATAAACTGATTATACCAAATTATAGCGGTTTAATAGCTGAGTAAGATTGTCGTCTGCTGGGTGGTTATCCTAAGTGCAGTGCGTTTTAGTCTTCCTCGTGATTATAAAATTCTAATTCCAAGGCAGATGCCTTCGAAAGTTATCTCAGTGTCAGCTTATCACTAAATGATCGTGTTCAGGTCACACTTTCTGACACGATAGCAGTGAGAGACACTTTTCTATGGCCAGGCCAGAATGCTCCCAATCTCTCTTTAATCCCATCTCTCATGAAAAAATGTTAAATGTATTTGGAACTAAAGACACCAAATGATCATTATGTAATTCTTTGTTTACAGTCTATAGCTCACTATAAGGTTTATTGTTTTCTTACCTAAATTATTCCTACTATAATCCAGAACTTTTAGATTTCTGGAACCACGTGGTATGGTCACTATTCTAGTGTAATCAGGAAATTCTGGAAAACATTTATTCTACTATGATTTATGCAACTATTGTTATTGCTGTTGCTGATGGTTCTTCAGATGTTTTTTTATGCAGCTGCTACTGAAATTATTCTACAGATGCTATTTATGCAGCTGCTGCAGGTTGGTACAGAACTGAGGTGCTCCTCTTTAGACGGGAACTCATCTCATGCTACCTTACTACCGAAAGTGATGGCGACTTTTTTTTTCTTTCTTGTTATTGCTGCTACTTCTGCCTTGAGATGATGTTTTTTGTGGTCGTTGTGTTTTGATTTTAAAGATGCTGACTGATGATTTATTACACTTACTGGAATCTGGACGTGGGAATTCAGAGAGAACAGTATCATAGACACGGTAACACGTGGAGTTTTTACCATTACAAATACCACACATATCAGGAGAAACCGTCGACTCGACAACACCGTCGCATCCAACTTTCTGTAACATTAAGATTGAATGAAATGTAAAGAGCTTGCTGTCATACTTTTCTGATTGTAATATTTCGAATAAACCTGAAAACTTAGGTGGTCATCCATTTTTATGTGCATTAGGACAGTAAGGTACTCATAGGCCCAGTACTAAAAACTATGAAAATGAAGACCAAAATCTAGAGGAATGTGTGCCTTAACTTATTTAAAAGTTTTATTTAAAAGTAACTTGTTAATTTTTAGAAAGACAAAAGTATATAAAGGTTTACCGTAAACCTTTTAAAAGTTATAAGGCTCAACACCAAAAACTCCTATGAGAATTGCTTAGCAATGGATCCACTGCTTTATGATTTGTCTAATAGATTTTTTCAGGTCGACACCCTCTCACATCCAAATATGACTTACCTTACATTTACCACTGATACATACACTACTTCCGGTTTTATAACACTTGATTCCATCTTGAACTTTACCAAAATTATAACTTCTACTTCCGATGTCAGGTCGGCAGTGAAGATAACAAGGTCTATCTGTACCAAAAAGATGGGATTCTGTCAGGAAACATTGTTCGATACAGCTAGCTCTCGTCCTCCTGACTTGTCAAGTTTATATGAAAAACACTTTATAGTCCCTCCGAATATAAACTGCACTTCCGAACAATCAATCGGAGTTTTGCTTCTTTGCTATATATATATAGTGAAAGGGACGTATACAGAATTATATATATGCTGTGTGATATTGGCGACTGGAAAGGAATCTTTGTGTTGGTACTGTTCTAAATGAGACACCAGATTTAAGCAGGTATTTTAATAAAAAAATGTTGTACCCACCTAGAGAATGCGATGGTAGCCATTTTGAATACTTTGTGGTCAAGAATGGTTTTCTGCTTAATAAACTACACTGTTGTGAACGATAGTCTCCTTCTTGTCGGGAACATTTCTACGTGGAGAAAAGAGACATATTATAGGTACCGAGCAAAGGTCTTACCAAGAAAGTTACGCTATAGTGCTCTGCTATATTTGCTTTCAGGGCTGCGAGGGGGCGCCCATCTCCTCTGTCGCCCCTTTGGCTCAGCCACTGAACAAAGCTCTACGAGCTGGGGTTGCAAATATTTAGACCACTCTACCTTTTTAAATTGTTTCTCACTTTTATGCATTCTGTTTTTAAGAATAACAATATTATGCCATGAAACGTTTGGTAGCAGATTTATATAAGCTTCGGATTGTTTCTGAAACCACAGTTTTGTCTGTATATAAGTTTGTAGACATTATAAATCACAATGAATGGATGTTCATAAATCAATATGCCATGCATTCAATGAAAACGTAATGTATATAGATAGAATAAGATGAACTGACCCGTCTGTGGCAGACTTTATATCTGATGTCAGCACCATTACATCCAGTGATATGAGTTCTCGAGAACTTCTCCCCGTCCCAGACCAAACATTGCCTGGTCCTGACTTTAACCCCCTGTCCGCAAGTCCTGGAACATGGACTCCAGAATGACCAGTTGTCCCACATTATAGGGTGATACCATCCTCGCTCAGTTGTTTTAGGAGTGGGGCTGGTGGTGATCCATGGTGAGCGTGTGCTAGTAGTAGATGAATGTGCATCATTGCGAGCTATAGAAGACGTCTGTATGGTATCAAACGTCGTTGACTGTATGTTTCGTTCATATGGCAAACGACGTCTCCTCGGCTGCCAGTTATAGGTACTGGTACTTGGACTGTAAGTCGTAGTCGTAGACTGTAAGTTTCTTCCAGTAGATGGTAGACGTCGTCTGTTTTGCCATTTGTAGCTGGTGGTACTAGTAGAAGCAGTTTTTGGATCAAAATATTTCTCCGATGATGTCTTGTATATGTGCATATCCCTTCTGTTTGATGGAAGACGTCTCTTGTTCTGCCATTTGTAAGTGCTGGTACCGGAAGTCGTAGTTATTGGGTTCTTTGATGATGTCACATACACGCTTCCGCCTCCACTCGTAGGAAGACGTCTCCTGACCTGCCAATAGTAGCCGCTGGTCGCAGTCTCTGTTGAATCCAGGAATCTATAGACTTGTTCGGTGTATGGTGTAATAACTTTGACAGTAGCAGGCTTTGAATCTCGATCTATATCCTCTGTAAGGTCCGTTTGAAATTTAGAAGGTTCAACTTTTGCGAACCGCCGATTCGTTGACGAGTCGAAATGGGTAGAAAATTGAATCCCTGTAAGAGTTTTTCCACGGGTACTTGAAATATTGCTGTTCAGCAAACCGTCAAAATCTATTATTGTTTTATTTCTAGGGAGAATCGACAGTTGATTCACTTCCGGTTGTTTCAGAGTAGTTTCTGTTTGCTTCTGGTGTTCATTTTGATCTGAAGACCAGTTGTCAAGTGCTTGCTCGCCACAGGCCTGAAACATAAAGCAATAACCATTTCTGTGCAATTCATGCTGTCCTCGGATGGTTTTCTATCAAAATCTATTGATTTTAGTAAATTTGGACGCGCACATGTAAACCGTTTAAGTACTAGCAGCCCCTCTAGTGTGAAAACGGACATATGTTTGTTTAAAAGTCATCACTTCATTTGAAACTTTTTAGTTAAAGTGAACCACGATCCTATCCATTTATTGATAAGTAGTCGTGGTTTGAATGATGATATAAGGAACCGTAAGAGAGAAACTAATTTTTTTATCACCAGATTGCCAGTAAGTACAGTGTAGAAGAAAAAGAAATAGAAATAAATAGATGAAAGAGCCACTGTAATTTATGTTTTTATGGTTTTTTTTTTTATTTCGGCCGTTTCGTTCCAGATATCTCGCAGATAAAGATTGCATTGAGTAGAAGATGATTAATGATGACTGTCCAAATTATGATAAATTTTCTGAAATATGGAATAAAAGATACAAGGCCGTAAAAAAGAATAGTCGAACCGAGTAAGGCAAATGTCTCACTTTTGAAACGACAACTTAAATGTAGAAGTGTCTATTTTGCATGTATGTAATTTAACTCCATCTTTCCCTCATTTAACCCGGCTATAGCACAATGACCTACGTTTTTATAGGCCTATATCATATAGATATGAAACAGACATCGTAATCTGCAATTATGTTATTGTGCCGGGACCGTACTGTTAATTCACCTTCTTTCTTTTCGATGTCTGCTGTTGTTTTAGGGAAACCCCATCTGAACGCACACGAAAACGTTGAAAATTACCAAAATATTACTATATTCCTCCGCTTATACCGAAATCACACCAGACTTGAGGCATGAGTTGAAGAGAGCTCCATTGAAATTATTGTTTAAATGGATTATTAACTTCCTTTTGATAGGATACGATCCATATAAATGACTTAAAAACATTCAGTTACCAAATGTTGCTTTGTTTCGGATGAAAGAGTCTCGTCATCTCATAAAGATAAAAACAAGCAGACAAACACTTGGTGAGAAATTACTTTCTTTTAGACAGTAAACGAAGTTAGTTGGCTAAGAAGCCTTTTAGAAATGCCCTCCACTGTACCCTCCGATGTACGGTGCTGTATCTGGTAAAGTTAGATCCCTTCTCCCACCCTCGCTTCGTTGAACTTCACGAAAAATATCGAATGATATTGAAAACAGTGTGGAATCTCCAAAATCCAGATGACCATACCACTGACCTTGAAGCATTGGGTGCTGCTAAAGCGTGTGCACGCTCTAAAGTCTTAAAACTTATGTAAACCTACAACGTGCATCAGTAAACATTCAAAATTCTTACCTGGTACAGAAAAAATAAAATTCCAAATTTCCACATTTTGATTCTGAATTTCTAAAACTACATTTAAATAATTTTAACAGTTCAAACTTCAAGTTATATCATTAGGAGAAGAAATATTACACTATAGTTAGTCCGACATCTCTGACTTTCTTTTGTCCTAACACATATACAATTATTATCATCGACTTCTGGAATTAATAGTTCTTGCTTCTGACCTAGGCGCTTGCTTTGTTATGGGTTATATTCTTATTTCACCTGCTAGCAGATTGGTACATGACGATTGTCACAGGTGTAATTTTCTATTCTCAGAACGATGGTCATTTTATATATTTGACATCTGTTTCGTTTAATGCGTGTACATGTTGAGGAATAAATATGGTACTGGAATTTGTAGCCTACTGCTATCTTTCCGGAAGGCCCAATATCACGCCTGGTGCGACAGGCGATTATAAGTTGGTGCATCACATCAAGGACTAACTTGTAGAAAAGAGCCTAATGAACCCGAATTCTTGTAAAAAGTAGTAAATTATGTTTTTTAGATATTGCTGTTCCTTTGGTACATTCATTAAGAAGTGAAGCACGAGCTTTAAGCCAGTAATCGGTGCTAACATAAGTCAGGAGTTTCGGACTAGACTAGAGCGAGGAATATAGAAGTTTATCATGATATAAGATCAGTGAAATTGATATTACCTTGGTATTGCACTTATAAATCATTATGTTCAAAGTTTCTCTTCACTAAAATACATTTAAATAAACGCCGTGGTGGCTTCAAGAGCCCCTAAAGAAAAACAATAGAATTGAAAGAATGATCATGAAACAGGATTAAAGCCCTTTAATTTCAAGGGGTAGTATGCACCCAGATCCCTAGAATGGCTTCGCTTCGCTTTCCTATTGAAAATTGTTTGCAGATCATTCCAATCCATGGTTTTGAACCCGCCACTGCCACGTTGGAGCCTACAGTTCGTAATGACTGCAGGGACTAAGGTGTCTTTTTGCTTTGCTAGTTGATAAATTTCGATTTCAGCTTCAGCTTTCCTCGCTCAGTTTTATTCAGAATTTAAATCTGGCTACGAATACGGAATATTAACATTGCTTAAAAAGGTGGTGTTTAAATAAAGGGGGATAACCGAAGTTATAAACTACAATTAAATAGATTACTGAGCGCATCAGAATAAAACGTGAAAGTTGAAAGAGATTGAATCAGGGTTGATTAGGGAGGACCGTTATGAAATTAAACCTTCATTTATAATAAGTATAGAATTTAATAAATATGATATTAAAACAGAAACAGAGTTTCACGCTATGCGATCTTCATAGGGTGAAACGTTGAGTAACATCATGTTTTATTATTTCTATATCGTCCTAAAGTACAATTGATATATTAAGCACTATTTTAACAGTGGTATTTCTATATAGCTCTACAATTGATGTATTGAGTACTATTTTAACAGTGGTATTTCTATATCGCTCTACAATTGATGTATTGAGCTCTATTTTAACAGTGGTATTTCTATATCGCTCTACAATTGATATATTGAGCTCTATTTTAACAGTGGTATTTCTATATCGCTCTACAATTGATGTATTGAGCTCTATTTTAACAGTGGTATTTCTATATCGCTCTACAATTGATGTATTGAGCTCTATTTTAACAGTGGTATTTCTATATCGCTCTACAATTGATGTATTGAGTTCTATTTTAACAGTGGTATTTCTATATAGCTCTACAATTGATGTATTAAGCACTATTTTAACAGTAGTATTTCTATATCACTCTACAATTGATGTATTGAGCACTATTGTAACAGTAGTATTTCTATATCACTCTACAATTGATGTACTGAGCTCTATTTTAACAGTGGTATTTCTATATAGCTCTACAATTGATGTATGAAGCACTATTTTAACATTAGTATTTCTATATCACTCTACAATTGATGTATTAAGCACTATTTTAACAGTGGTATTTCTATATCTCTCTACAATTGATGTATTGAACACTATTTTAACAGTAGTATTTCTATATCACTCTACAATTGATATATTGAACACTATTTTAACAGTGGTATTTCTATATCGCTCTACAATTGATGTATTGAGCTCTATTTTAACAGTGGTATTTCTATATCACTCTACAATTGATGTACTGAGCTCTACTTTAACAGTGGTATTTCTATATCACTCTGCAATTGATGTACTGAGCTCTATTTTAACAGTGGTATTTCTATATCGCTATACAATTGATGTATTGAGCACTATTTTAACAGTGATATTTCTATGTTGCTCTACAATTGATGTATTGAGCACAATTTTAACAGTGGTATTTCTATATAGCTCTACAATTGATGTACTGAGCTCTATTTTAACAGTGGTATTTCTATATCACTCTACAATTGATGTATTGAGCACTATTTTATCAGTGGTATTTCTATATCGCTCTACAATTGATGTAATGAGCACTATTTTAACAGTGGTATTTCTATATAGCTCTACAATTGATGTATTGAGCACTATTTTAACAGTGGTATTTCTATATCGCTCTACAATTGATTATAGAGTACTAT